TTTGAAAATATACACAGTTACATTTTTTTGTTCCCGAGTTACATCTTTTTATCCGTGATTTACATCATCATGTACACGAGTTACATTTGGACTTGTCTTAGCAAATTACATTTTGTGTAAAGAGGGAATAATCAGCATATGACTGAAGAAAGCCATATCCTTTAAGAGCACCAACCAACTTAGCAAACCAACATCTAGGAGCTTGCTTCAAACCATAAAGGGATTTATGTAACCGACACACAAGAGAAGGATCAGAAGCAGCATATCCTGGTGGAACCTGCATGTAAACTTCCTCAGCCAAATCACCATGCAAAAACGCATTATGAACATCCATTTGATGGAGTTCCCAATTTTTGGATGCCGCAACAGCCAAGAAGGCACGGACCGTGACCATCTTGGCTACTGGGGCAAATGTTTCATTGTAGTCAAGTCCCTCTACTTGACGATTGCCAAAAATAACCAAACGGGCTTTGAGTCGTTCAATACTACCGTCAGAGTGGTATTTTATTTTATATACCCAACGGCAGCCCAATGCTCGTTTGCCGGGTGGTAGAGGCTGCATAGTCCAAGTGCGGTTGTCTTCAAGGGCTCGAATTTCAGCGCGCATTGCATCACGCCAACCAGCATCACGAATAGCCTCTTTAAAAGAGGTTGGTTCTTTACTAACTGAGAGTGCCGTCAAGAACACACGATAGCGGTCAGAAAATTTGTCACAATTAATATAATGAGCTATAGGAAACGGTGTACCTGAGTTAGCCGATGGAGAGGAGGGAGCGGGGAATGGACTATCATGCATGACAGTATGTGTCTCAAAGTCGCGCAATCGGATAGATGGGAGTTTAACTCTTTTCCCTCGACCCAAATCTGGCGATGAAGGCGCAGAGGTAGAGGGCACTTCAGATTCAGATGCAATAGGAACAAGAGAATCAGGGACACGCGGAGGAGGAGAATCCTGTGAAGCTGGGGTAGCCAAAGGATATTCCCAGGTATCCAAAGGCGGTAATGGTGGAGGGTCCTCTTGGATATGTTCTGGAGTAGTGAGAAAAGGAAAGACATCCTCAATGAATTTTACATCCCGCGAGACAAAGTACTCCTCGGTCTCAAGATCATAAACCCGCCATCCCTTTTTACCAAAAGGATACCCAACAAAGATACATTTGCGGGTCCTGCTCAGAAATTTGTCCCTAGTAGAACGAAGGTTATGGGCAAAACAAAGACACCCAAATACACGAAGAGCATCATAATCAGGAGATTTTCCAAACAGTATTTCAAAGGGTGTTTTATGGTCCAACACTGTAGAAGGGGTCCGATTAATCAGATGAGCAGCAGTTAGAACACACTCCCCCCAAAATTGAATGGGAAGATTAGCCTGAAATCTGAGAGCACGAGCGACATTAAGAATGTGTCGGTGCTTACGTTCAACCCGTCCATTTTGTTGCGGCGTGGCAACACAAGAAGTATGAAAAATAATGCCAGATGTCCGAAAAAAATCTTTCAGGCAGTTAAATTCCGTCCCATTGTCACTACGAACAATTTTAATATTTTGAGAAAACTGACGCTCTACCATAGCGCAAAAATTCATGAACATGGGAAAAACTTCTGTTTTATCAACCAAAAGATATACCCAAACAGCACGGGAAAAATCATCAACAATAGTCAGAAAACTCTTAGCACCACAAGAAGAAGGCGTATGATATGGCCCCCATAAATCACAATGTATAAGCTCAAAAATACGTGTACTTTTGCTTATACTAAGAGGAAAATTGTCTCTAGTATGTTTAGCTCTAAAACAGATTTCACAGGGCGAAGAATTAGCAGGGGTATACCCACTCACAGGTCGAAGCCATTTCATAACAGTGTCTGACGGGTGTCCCAAACGTTGATGCCAAGTAAAAGCAGAATTAGATCCTTTCTGAACACCAAAAATATAAGTTCCAGCAATATCCCCTAAGTAATAAAGTCCATTCCTCCGCTCACCCGCTCCAATCAACTTCCTCGAGTGCCGGTCCTGTATAGCACAAATATTAGAGGTAAATTGAATGAAACATTCGAGATCTTGTGCAAGTTGTGATACAGAGATAAGACTACAATTTAATTTGGGAACAAATAACACATGTGACAAATGTATTGTGTCAGATAAATAAACAGATCCCGCTTTGGTAGCCTGCACTTTCTGGCCGTCCGGCAATCCAACTGTACAACCGTTAATGTCAATGATGTCTCTTAGACAAGAGAGATTCCCGGTGACGTGATTTGAAGCTCCAGTATCAATAATCCAAGAAAAAGGACTAAATTTACCGGATTCTCTTTTATTATCCGAACTTGGTTTACCAAATGATGTCACAAATCCCTTCCACACATCAAAAGTAAAGCCTGGCAGCCCACTCCCTTCTCCCATGCCATCAAGCACATTGATTTGTTCCGTACGTGAGTTGGGGGCATCCACCAGCAACGCATGAGCAAAAGTGTTCACTCTGCCACGCCCTGCAATTTCATCTTCATGTCCAGCTCCTTCGCCGTCCCGGCAATTTGTTTTGCCCGTCCCTTGTGGTGTCCGGCCATTGTTACTCACAACAAGTCCCAAAATTTCAGATCGGTCTTCCCGATTTTGCCCCAAAATTTGAGCAGAATCTTCGCCGTCCCCTACTGCCATTGCAGAAGACCTCGGTGTAGTTGTCTGTCACGCCGGAGTCTTGGGTTTCTCTGATACCATGTTGAACGGCAAAAGTATAGGTAAGAATATTAGTCTGTATTATTGTATATGCCTCTTCCACAATACGTACAAGACTTTTTTATAAAAAGGCTTACTAGTCAAAGATGGAAAGACAATCATTGTACATCTAAAAATATTAAATAACATAAATAGACTAACTAAATAAAGTAATTTAATATATGATCCGTAATACGTGACTTATATTTTCTATAACACGAGTTACATTTTCCATAACACAGTTACATCACAAAATAAACCTCCTTTATTGAAATAAAAAAAAACATTTTTTTAAATCAATTTTTTATTTGCAAAAAAAAACAGTTTATTGAAAAAAAATACTCCGTATTTCTTTAAAACATATTCACTATTTACCTAAAACAATAAAGCAATTACATTTCTTTTTTTATTGTTTACATTGAAATCAATGTTTTAGACAAGTTACATTTTGACTTGCTTGCAGTAACATTTCTTATTAACGTAAGTTACATTTCTATACACACGAGTTATATCATTCTGCTACTCGAACAAGAAAAAATACAAAAATAGTTACTGTTCATGCGTGTACTGTTCACGCGAGTTACTGTTCACCCGTGTTTTTTTTAAATTGCAAAACTGCGTCGTTTTTGGGCTTGGAGCACCGTGCTCACCGTGGGATGATCCCACGGTATAATTTGCGATATACTTCGTATTTCAATTCTATCCATACATATATGGTACTCCCTCCGTCCCGCAAAATAGTTCCGATTTCCTTTTTGGGTTGTCCCAAAAAATAGTTCACATTTCCCTTTTTGGAAAGTTTTGTGTGACTTGCATTCATTTACTTTTTTCTTACACAATTACAATCATACATTTTCACTTTATTCTCACTTTGTTAAACTCCGATCCAAGTCGGGAACTATTTTATGGGACGGGGAAGTATATCCTTAAATCACACACTATAAATCTTGAAAAATTGTTCTTATCCTTTCATCACAAACCGATATGGATTATTATTCTTTCACTCCCATTCGTGTACTTCTCTTCCTCTTCAGGTCAAGCTACGCCGCTAATTTTGAAGTAAAAAACAACTGCCCCTACCCGGTGTGGGCGGCAGCAACCCCGGTCGGCGGCGGTCAACGCCTCGACTGGGGCCAAACATGGACAGTCAACGTCCCGGTCGGGACGGCCATGTCACGTACATGGGGTAGCACAAATTGCAACTTTGACGGAAATTGGCGGGGCGGGTGCCAGACAGGATACTGCGGCGAGTTGTTGCGGTGTACCGGGTGGGGCAAACCGCCAAACATGCTCGTGGAATTCGCTCTGAACCCATTCAACAACCTTGACTTTTTTGACAAATCCAATGTTGACGGTTTCAATTCAATGTGCCCATGCAGTTTGGCCCCCACCCGCCCGGGTGCCGGAAAATGCCATGCAATTTCATGCACGGGTGGTAACTACTGGTAACCTTGTAACATGGTTGACGGCAGGTGCAACAATCCTTGTACCACGTTTGGAACAAAAAATGTTGCTGTACAAATAATTTCATGACCATTCCTAGTGTACACAAGATGTGTTCATTGTCTGTGTACACAAGCAATTTGGCATCAACTCCTGTCCCTGTTTTAACGAATTGCCTATGTACACAGACAACTAGGAGGGTTTTGTGTACAACTTGTGTATAACTAATGTACACTATGCATTTTCCATAATTTCAAGGATAGATGCTCTGATGCTTACAGCTAGGGGTGGACTCGGGCCGGGCGGTCCGAACCGTAACCGGCCCGGTCACTGTTTGAATTGGCCCGGCCCAGCGGCCCGGCCCATGGGCGGTTGGGGTCGACCCGGCCCGGTGGCTACTGGTTCCGGGCTCGGGCCTTCATTTTGGTGAGCCGGCTCGGCCGGTTCGGGCCCGGTCCGGGCCGAATTTAATTTTTTTTTTTGAATTTTTTTAAAGTTTTTTGGTTGGATTGGGTATTTTGGGCCATTTGAGGTGGTTTGGGGTGGTTTGGGGTTGAGGGGGAGGGTAGGGGGTTGATTAGGAAAACCCAAAAAAAAAATTATATAGAACCGGGCCCGGCCCGGCCCGAACTGACCCGGGGTTACCCGGGCCGGTTCTGGGCCTCCCCTACCTTGAACCGAGGCCCAGCCGGTTCAAGGCCCGAACCGGGCCCAGCCCAACCGGGCCCAGCCCGAACCGAGTCCACCACTACTTACAGCTACCCTTAACCTTAAGGATGATGTCACTAGCACTTTCACTTGTCTATTGAAGATGATAATGCCAGCTAATACTATATGTATTCATGGATTGTATTTTAATTTGAGAATAAATGTGAGAATATCATATCTATTGGGAATTGTTAATACCAAAAGTTGCATCCTAAAAGGTCAACTTGCGTGAAGTAATCCAAAGTTTATTATATTGTAATATAACTTTAACATCTATACAAGTACAAATAAATAAGGATTCAATAAGATGCATCAATTTAACCGGCCCGGGCCCGACCCGGAACCGCTGGCTACCCGGGCCGTTTCCGGGCCTCACTTCCCCAAAAAAAGCCCGGTCAAGCCCGGTCAAGCCCGGCCCGGAACCAGTCCACCGGTCCACCCCTAGCTATACTTCATTACACTTCAGTTCTCAAATAGGGACCAGGGTAAGATGATGATGATGATGATGCTGATGCTGCAGCAGCTGCCTGCTGGCCTGCTGCCTGACGCCTGCCGGCCTGCTGATGATGATGATCGTAAGGATAGGATCAATAGGAGCTAAAAAAAGGAGCTAATGCCACTGGAGCTTCTTAAGGAAATTCTGAGATTTCTCTGATATTACTCCATATTTTTTAAATAAAGTGCTCAACAGACCTCAACGGGTATTTAACATTGAACCAGACAAAAATAGAAATATGATCAAGAATCATTTTGAACTAATATGAAAAACACAGCCTGATTGGCATCTGGCAAAATCCTAGTATTCTTCTTCACTTCAGAAGAAGAATAAACCATCATAAGATTAACTGCCTACGTATAACTAAATTTAGAACATTTCCCAATTTTACTCGCTCAAACATCAGGTCATTTCCACTATAAGAAACCACCTTTCATGTTTTCCACTTTTGGGGAACAAGTATGGAAGTTTTTCCATTTTTGTCAATTCCAGTTGCTTATCAAGCCAAAATAAAACAAAAATTGTTAGGAGGTTTGCAACATTACAGTGATTGATTAGATTGATAAAGGCATAATAAAACATACCCGCGCACAAAAAGTGAGAGCCCGGGAGCCAGGACCTAGTAAGTATGGTCTAATAGTAGTGGCTCCAAAAGACGAACTATTTCTAACTCTTGATTATTGATTACATTATTTACAGGCAGCCTGACTGCCTTTGGGGAGGGGGTCAAGGTTTAGCCTTAGTAGTAGTAGGACTAGTTGCTGTCATTAGATTCTTTGAGGTGTGCTTGTCTGGCGGGGCAGATCGGGAAGGCATATCATTTGGAAAGGAATCAAATATTGGGAGGTCAAAACATGCTTCTGACAGTGGAGGGTATGATTCTTTGTGGGACGCTCGCTCACAAGGTATAAAGTCCTCCACAGGTATTGCCCCCGTGAGTGTTTTAAAAGCGAATTCGAAACATGGGTCAGACAAACAGTCCCCAAACGGATACTTAGGTTCTGAGTCATCTCCCAATATCGGTTTCGGGTCCTCTGAAACTGCCTGGTTCTCTGCTACAGGTGAATGTTTATCTACCTTCACTGTCTCATCTGGTTCGGTCACACCAGAATTTGTGGCGGGCTGCAAATCTTGACAAGCAGGGACCAGCGATGCTTCTCTTTCAGATCCAACGGAATTGCTGAGATCATGGACATGCCGGGGTGGATAGTTTAGAATTTGGGCAGAAGATGTGTTTGCTGTGTCAGTTCCAGCATGGTTTCTGATAGCAACCCGAAGAGTCTGTTCACTTACTAGACCCAGATCGGCCACTTCTTCAGGGTTGTGCCCAGCAAGTCTTTTTGAGAACCGACTGGATGTGCTACCGTTGCCCGAATCAGTAACTCTGGTCTCTTCATTTGAACAAATACTCTGCCTGGTTATCTTACCCATAGTAGCTGAAGGGGAATCCTACAATGAAATCAGGAACAAAGGAAACAATGTTTAATGTTTAACAATGATTTCACTTTAATTTTTCATGCCCATAATATGATTTGACTTTATAGTAACATTATATGAAGCTACGTTTCTGCTCATCAAACCACCCTAAAAATCTCAACACCTGAGCAGCTGTTTCTTCCACTGGTACCCCTGGCCCCAATTTGTTTCTGCCTTTGTAACGTTACAGAAACGTTACCATTATTTACCACAAGTTAACTACCTAAATTAACCTCAACTGCAAAGAAATTGGTATGGAACAATATTGATTCCTATAGAAGGGTCTCTCTGATGCCGGTGCAAAGCTTTACAGTACTTCAATGGTAATGAAACACCAAAATGAAATACCAGATAGCAATGCTTTGTTAAACAGAAAGGAAATATAAAATGAGGGGGAGAGAGAGAGAGAGAGAGAGAGAGAGAGAGAGAGAGAGAGATTTGCAAGGAGCAAGCTTTATTTGAATTGTATTGATTGTAATTTTCAGGCTGAATATCATATTGCATCTGCATCCATTTATAGTTCTTCTAATGAAAAGAATGAAACACAGAAAACTGATTTTGACTAACGAACTCATAACAAACTCCAGCTAACAAATTGTAACAATCTCTTGTTTCAAACATTGTACTTTTCTCTATCTGATTCTTTCATACCTTTAGTTGAATGCAAACATAGGTCAAACTGTACAAGAATATCCGTATGGGTTATAAGGTAACCTCATCCCACACAGCCTAAGAGTGATAGGATCCTCCAGAAAATTCACAACAATCCACAGAGAAATTGTAAAACAGAATCAAGAAAACAAAGAAGATTTTATTATCGATGAATCGGTAACAAGAATGGCCGAAGCCCCCAATGAGCCGAAGCCCCCCAAAGAAAGAGAATAGTTCTCGATCTCCCAAAGTCCCAAAGTCAAAGTCTATCAACAGCCTACTCCCTTTCCCCCCAGCCCATTCTATTTATACTAGACTTTATTTTTATTATACTCTATTTGGGCCGGGCCCCTAACAATTCTCCCCCCCTAAACATCCACCTTGCCCTCAAGGTGGGTGATAGGACACCGCCATAATCCTTTTATTTTCTTTCATCCTAGCACTTCTTCCTTTCCAATATTGGCATGATTTCAGGACCCTTAGCTTGGCTGATTCCATCTTCTTACCTATACCTTTCAAAACAGATTTACACTGCTGCCAGGATGTTTTATCCAGAATTTTGACTCTTTCTGATTCCTTGAAGGTTAGGGCCCCGCTTGCTGCAACACCAAATACATCAACTTCCTGCTCTTGAGCACTTCCTTCTGAAATATCTATATATAACCCATGGGATTTCAGCAATTTTCCTTCTCCCTTCTTGTCAGTTTTCAGTTTTCTTAATAAGGGATCTCCGTTTATATTTGCCTTCTGCCCAAATACTTCCCATTGGATGGTTTGATTCTGAAAGTTGACTGCCATATCTCCTAGGCCAGCTAACCAATCCATTCCTAGCATGACCTCAACTCCACCCAATTGCATAATATAAAATTTCTGCCGAATTTCATTTCCTTGTACATCCACTGTCAGCCCATCACACCTACCATAGATGAAAAGGAATTCTCCATTCCCTAGCTGCACTTTATGCCTTTTTATGTAAGCAAAAGGTATCTTCCAGGCCTCCACAATCTCCTGTGAAATGAAATTATGAGTCGCTCCACAATCAATCAAAATATTCACCTTCTTTTCCTCATTCAGCCATTTCAGAATTCCCCTGACATGGAATGTTCTCATGGTTGGTGTTCCTTCCTGGTCCACAACAGATAATTGCAAAGTTTTAGCTTCCATAATTATTCCTTCTTCTCCTTTATCTTTACTATAATCAGATTCCTCCTCACCTTCAGATTGTTCTACCAACATCACTGAAAAATTTTTCATTCTGCATACGTGACCCCTATTCCAGTTTTCGCCACACTTGAAACATAACCCCTTCTTACTTCTTTCTTGCAACTCATTCTGTGATAATCTTGGACTTGTCTTCATATAAACAGAACTTGATCCTTCTTCCAGCTTCTTGTTACCGTCTGAGTTCTTCACCAATGGATTTGTAGATGCCAGATTATAACTAATTCGACTACCAACTTCCCCTTTAAGATAGCTCTGTCCTGTTCTCTTTCTTTCCTCCTTATCCTTCACATATAGGGTTTCATAATTCTTCTTTTCAATTGCAGAAACTGTATCCATCACTGCTGCCAATGTTCTGGGACGATGTAACTTCAATTCTGCTCTTATATCTCTTCTCAATCCTTTAAGAAAGGCTCCTTTCAAAACTTCTTCAGTTAAATGGCCTTGTGAAGCGATAGCCTTTTCAAATTTATCTCTGTAATCCTGAATTGTTCCCTTCTGCTTTAGGCTAAACAGAGGTCCTAGCGGATCCTGTACCAGATCAGGTTGAAACCGCTTACTCAAAGCTTGAGTAAAAGTACTCCAATTCTGCTGCAATGCTTGTCCCTCCCACCACTGGAACCAGCTTAAGGCCTGGTCTTCCATGGCTACGACGGCAACGTCAATCTTATCCTCTTCTTCAGTCCTATTCAAACGGAAGTAGCGGTCCATTCTGATTAACCATCCGCCGGCGTCTTCCCCATTGAAAAGAGGTAAATCGATTTTCCTTCCTATCGGAGGATGATTTCGATTATACCTGTGGTGATCGCGGTGTTGATGTCGATGTGAAGGAGAATAGTCCGAATTGTTTTCGGATCCTTCTGAACTGGTTGCTTGTCGCGAACGATGATGGAGAGTTGAACGATGATGGTGATGACTAGAAGTGTGATGCGATGCAGATGATCGATGCGATGCAGATGAGCGATGCGATGCAGATGAGCGATGCGACCTACTGCTGGATCGATCTTTGGCATCCAACCTGGCCATAATCGCTGTCAACATCTCCGTTGTCCGTTGATGATTCCGATCAACTTTCTCTTCCAGTCGGTTGTGATGATTTTCCAACTCAGTCAACCGCAAATCCATTTTCGTCCTCGTCCAGACCATCCACAGTAGCTACCTTCTCTGATACCAATTGATAGGATCCTCCAGAAAATTCACAACAATCCACAGAGAAATTGTAAAACAGAATCAAGAAAACAAAGAAGATTTTATTATCGATGAATCGGTAACAAGAATGGCCGAAGCCCCCAATGAGCCGAAGCCCCCCAAAGAAAGAGAATAGTTCTCGATCTCCCAAAGTCCCAAAGTCAAAGTCTATCAACAGCCTACTCCCTTTCCCCCCAGCCCATTCTATTTATACTAGACTTTATTTTTATTATACTCTATTTGGGCCGGGCCCCTAACAAAGAGCTCGTATGTTAGTTTATATTTTTTATTTATATTTCAAGTGGGAACCAATCACCTAATGTTGCCTTAAGATGATGACTCATTTGAGCAAGCTAATCTTGAAATTTGTTCAATCTTTTTTCAGTTTTAACCTTATCATGTTAAAAGGTCGAGCTGTTTATTTAATGTGGGCTCAATCTCTTAACATGTGCAACACAGCAAGTAGTTTATGTTCACCCAAGCAGGATTAATACATATTCAGCTACCACTCATGGTTTATATATTTAAGTTCATGATCATTTCCATTTAGTTTCCTTGTAGAGGAAACTTAATATCAAGCATAGACATAAAAAAGGTAACTTCACCAAAATACCAGAAGTGCACATTTCCACAATGAAAAGTTGAATGTGTTTCAACAACAAACTTGCTAAATCTTGTAAAATATTTCGTGGATTATATCAACATGAAAATGATTTCACTGTCAATACGCGGATATAGCAAAAATAAATCATTAGACATCTGACAAAGACGAGAACTCACATATTTGCGATAGGTCTCTGACAAAGAATCCCTTTTCTTGGGCCTCGTTAAACACTTCCCAATATCACCGGTTTCTACATACCGCATAACATCCTTTTTGGAAAAAAATACATATCCACTCACAGGGTCTATATACACCTGTTAAATAAAGACAAATGAAATCATAAATCTTTAGGGTAATCCGTTTATAACCATAATAGTAAAATTATAGGTAGAGTCTCAAGAAGTTTATAACAAGACAAGTAGTAATATATGTAATAACTCCACAATCTCAAACCTCAATCCTGATCTATGATAAGGACGATACGAAACTTTCATAACAATACGTATCATAGGTAGAATCTTCATGACCAAGAGAAAATCAATAGTCTTTTATTAATTATACCCTCCATATTTTACATAGGTTTCTAATGATCCTATACAGGACTCTTACGATCCTTCAAAACGTATATAATATGACAATATTTTATTGTGGAATTAATTAATACTCCCTTCTTATCACTTTACTGGTCTCATATTCCTTGTCGCGTTGTGTCAAATTAATTGCCACGTTTCTAATTGTGAAAAGAAATATACCCTAAAAGCAGCTATCATACACTTCAATAAAGTATAATGTACTGCTACAATACCAAAAACCTCATACTTTTTCTAAAGTGTAAAGTAAACCTATACCATTATCTTAAATGACGTGAAAACCCTATTTTGACAATTAAATGGTCACCGTAACTTTGACGATTACTATTACACATCTAGATTAAAATTTAGGATCTTTTATACTCCATCCGCCACAAAATGTACGATACATTTAGGTTTGGCACTGGGTTTTAAGATAATAAAGGAGATAGTTGTTTTTCGCAGTTATAACCTTCATAGGGGAGATAGTTGTTTTCACATATATATTGTATGTGTCCAAAAAAGTTAAAAGATGAAGTGGATAGATAAAATTAGTCGAATTCAAATTAGGAAAGTGATTATATGTTTAGAAAAAGAAAACAAAAACAGAAAAGAGTAGCTAACAAAATGGGATCTAGGGAGTTCATTCTAATTATTTAAATTTCAAATGTAATGCACTAACACTAACATTATTTTTTTAAAATTAATAACTATAGATATATCGGTAAAATACTAAAATTATATTGTTACCTGATACTCCGTACATGATAAATTTCAATCTTTTTCTTTTAAATCTCAATCATTCACAATATATTAGGTTGATATTATACTACTATTATTGGTTATTTTGTAGAGCTCTAAACTCCAATCCTAGAATCATGATCACAATACACGTGTCTATGTTCAAATAAAGAAATATGGTAAGCCTAGTTTAAATATTAGTATAATTTTTTATTCTATTTAAGTTTAGGATCTAGTTTTCCTATACCTATTGGATTTAGGCCAACTATTTTTGATAAATATTCAAATCTTTATAAATTATGAAGTTGTGAGTGAAAAGGCCATATCAATAAAGTAGTAGCTTATTATACAAAAGGCATGTGTTTTGTAAATAAAATGATAAAGAAACCATACTGGGTCCCGTCGTATGCCATGTGCATGTACTCTCGTTTTGATTTCCTTAACCCAACCTGGTGGTAACCCGTCCACTGCATTGTCTTTGACCGCAACCTATAAATATAACTTTACAAATTAGACATTATCATTGCAACATACAGTCAAACAATTCCTTTTGAGGCATCTTACAGAAGAAACAGTATTGGACACTTCATTTCCAGATGTTGGCTGAATGGAGGCCTCGCTCTCAATGTCGGTAGGTTTCTCATTTTCGGACACTTCATTTCCAGATGTTGGCGGAATGGACGCCTCGCTCTCAATGTTGGTAGGTTTCTCATTTTCAGACACTTCCTTTCTAGATGATTCCTGTATGTGATTCTGAAACATGTTTAACAATCCATCTCATGTCATATTTCTAGATGAAGAATTAATGGCGGTCTGGTTGCCTATATTTTTATAGCTTATGTGTGTGCCAAATTGGTTAATAATGAAAAACAGTAGAACTGGAGGTGCTTTTTTGCCTGAAGGTGACGTAGGTAATAATTTTACCCTTATGTATGTGTATTATTTTAGCAGTATGACAATATCAACCACAATGTAAGCAACTTTAAGAAGACCCTAACAATGTTATTATCATGATAATTCTAATCTGAAATGTTATGGAAATAAAAAGGATTAATCATAAGAAAGTGAAGTATGGCACATATAGCAAATAGTTGTACGTATGCAACAAAACTTATACAAATTTAGCAAAATAATGATAAGTTATCAATGATTAGGACATTCGGCAAACATAAGACTCACGGATTTGTTATAAGCTCCCAACAAAGAGTCATCTTTCTTGGGCTTTTTTACACACTTCCCAATGTCACACGTTTCCATGTAGGGCATAGCATCCATTTTGGGAAGAGAAGAATATTCGCTGACTGGGTCTGCATAATGCTGTTAAACCAACAACAAACCAGAAACACATCCTCATTTCTTCAAGAATAACCTTAAAAGAACAAACATATCCTTAGAGAAGAATAAAATTGCAACTGAAATGCTTGTTTTAAAAAACAAAAATAAAAAGTCTGTTTTTTGGTTCTGTCTTATTTAATCTTCAAATTTTAATTAAATATGTTCTAGCAGGTTTGTTTTGCATTTGTGATTCAGATTATTTATTACTAATGAAAATATATGATTTTAATAGTGTCGAAATCGGAAAGATACATATTTTGGATAACTATGACAATATAAAAAATGAAATGCAAACCAAATATCTTTTCATGCTTAGGCCCTCCAATATTTTTAGTTATCATTTCAGTTTTAACCTTATCAAGATGCAAGTTTGAGCTGAGATAACTACAGTAATATATAGTTCATGCTAAAAGGTCGAACTGTTTATTTAATGTGGGCTCAATCTCTTATCATGTGCAACAGAGCAAGTAGTTTATGTTCACCCAAGCACGGTTAATACACATTCAGCTACCACTCATGGTTTATACATTTAAGTTTATGGACTTCCTTTTAGTTTTCTTTTAGAGGCAACTTAATATCAAACATAGACATTAAAAAGGTAACTTCACCAAAATACCAGAAGTGCACATTTCCGCAATGAAAAGTTGAATGTGTTTCAACAACAAACTTGTTAAATCTTGTAAAATAATTTGTGGATTATATCAACATGAAAATGATTTCACTGTCAATACGCCTATATAGCAAAAATAAATCATGAAGACATCAGGCAAAGATGAGAACTCACATATTTGCTACAGGTTTCTGACAAAGAATCCCTTTTCTTGGGCCTCATTAAACACTTCCCAATATCACCGGTTTCTACATACCGCATAACATCCTTTTTGGAAAAAAATGCATATCCACTCGCAGGGTCTATATACAGCTGTTAAATCAAGACAAAGGAAACCATGAATCTTTAGGGTAATCCATTTATAACAATAATAGTAAAATTATAGGTAGAGTCTCTAGAAGTTTATAACAAGACAAGTAGTAAGATATGTAATAACTCCACAATCTCAAACCTCAATCCTGATCTATGATAAGGACGATACGAAACTTTTATAACAATACGTATAATAGGTCGAATCTTCATGACCAAGAGAAAATCAATAGTCTTTTATAATTTATACCCTCCATATTTTACATAGGTTTCTAATGATCCTATACAGGACTCTTGTGATCCTTCAAAATGTATATAATATGACAATATTTTATTGTGGAATTAATTAATACTCCCTTCTTATCACTTTACTGGTCTCATATTCCTTGTCGCACTGTGTCAAATTAATTGCCACGTTTCTAATTGTGAAAAGAAATATACCCTAAAAGCAGCAATCATACACTTCAATAAAGTATAATGTACTGCTACAATACCAAAAACTTCATACTTTTTGTAAAGTGTAAAGTAAACCTATACCATTATCTTAAATTACGTGAAAAACCGATTTTGACAATTAAAATGGTCACCGTAACTTTGTCGATCACTATTACTAATCTAGATTAAAATTTAGGATCTTTTATACTCTATCCGCCCCAAAATGTATGATACATTTAGGTTTGGCACAGGGTTTTAAGATAATAAAGGAGATAGTTGTTTTTCACAGTTATAACCTTCATATAACCTTCATAGGGGAGATAGTTGTTTTCACACACACACACACACATATATATTATAGAAATGTCACAAGTAAGACCGTAGACTTTCATCTAGACAAAAATTAGACCAGGTTTACATTGAGACAAAAAAGAGACTTATAATGAATGAAGAGACTAAATCACCCCTCACTCAAAACCCTGCCATCTACTTTCTCCATCGATACCTTTTCCTACGACCTTCTTCATTATCCATGGTACACCGCCTCCTCTCACCTTGTCGTCATCGCCTTCACCACTTCTCCCCTCTTTGTCACTGTCACCTCTCACTGACATTAGCGCCGCCTCCATTGTCTTTTCCAACTCATGGTCACCATCGTCGTCATCGTCGTCCCTGTGCACTTTTGCCTCATCCAGGTCCATCTTCGTCAGTTTACTCTTCTTCTACTTTCTTCTTTTCAAGAATCGATTGTTGATTTTCGTTCAATTTGTATGGAGAAGTTGAACGACGATTGGTGTGCTAGGGTTTGGTGTTTAGATGGCGGACGGTGGTGGTGGTACAGAGGCGGCATCGGTGAACCTGTTCGTGGCGGCTAGGGTTCACAGATCCGAAGCAGGGGCGGCAGCTAAGCTGGGGTTTCAGAGATTTGGGTTTCTTGGGGGCTGTAGAGGGGGCACGAGCGCTGGACTATGGCTGTTGTGGAGGGGGTTGGGCTGGTGGCCGCCAGGTAGGGGCAGGGGTGTGGTGAGGGTTGGGTAGGGGCGGCGGCGGTGGTCGCCCCACGGCGCTGTCAAGGAGCTGGAGGAGTCTGAAGATGGGCTGCGGTAGCTTGCAGCCGGAGCAGTGGTCACTGTTGTGGGGGTGGCGGTTGGTTACACGGTGTGGTTGCTATTGGACTAGGCAATGTGATTGGTCGATCTGGATTATTATAATGGATCGGATAACTATAACTGAACGGGTCGGGTAATTGTAATTGGATGGATCGGGTAACTGTAACTGGATGAATTGGGTAACTGTGATTGGATGTGTCGAGTAACTGTAATTGGATGGATCACTGGACGGTCGGGTAACTGTAACTGGACGGTTGGATAATTGCAATTGGACGGTTGGGTAACTGTAATTGGACAGTCGAGTAACTGTAACTAGACGGTCAGGTAACTGTCACTTGACGGGTAAATGTTGGTCATTGGACGAGTGGATGTTAGTCACTGGAGGGATGAACGTTAGTCATTGGGCGAAGTATTTGGTCACTAATAGATTTCTTATTTTGGTCACTAATGAAATTTGGTCACTCACATATTTTGGTCACTATGGTGTCACTGTGACGTTAGTATAGCACTAATGGGCTATAATAATCTCCTAACTCTTTTTTAGTCTTATTTTTGGAATATGGGAAAAAAGGTCCCTTTTTTGTCCATATCACTTTTTTAGTAGTATTTTAGACATAATCCCTATATTATATGAGTCCAAAAAAGTTAAAAGATGAAGTGATAGATAAAGTTAGTCGAATTCAAATTAGGAAAGTGATTTTATTTTTAGAAAAAGAAAAAAACTTTGAAAGAGTAGCTAACAAAATGGGATCGAGGGAGTTCATTATAATTATTGAAATTTCAAATGTAACGCACTAACATTATTATTTTTTAAATAATAACTATATATATATATATATATATATATATATATATATATATATCGGTAAAATACTAAAATTATATTGTCACCTGATACTCCGGACATGATAAATTTCAATCTTTTTCTTTTAATTTTCAATCATTCACAATATATTAGGTTGATATTATACTACTAATATTGGTTATTTTGTAGAGCTCTAAACTCCAATCCTAGAATCATGATCACAATACACGTGTCTATGTTCAAATATAGAAATATGGTAACCCTAGTTTAAATATTAATATAATTTTTTATTCTCATTAAGTTTAGGATCTAGTTTTCCTATACAATTGGATTTAGGCCAACTATTTTTATAAATATTCGAATCTTTATAAATTATGAAGTTGTGAGTGAAAAGGCCATATCAATAAAGTAGTAGCTTATTATACAAAAGGCATGTGTTTCGTAAATAGAATGATAAAGAAACCATACTGGGTCCCGTCGTATGCCATGTGCATGTACCCTCGTTTTGATTTCCTTAACCCAACCTGGTGGTAACCCGTCCACTGCATTGTCTTTGACCGCAGCCTATAAATATAACTTTACAAATTAGAAAGTATCATTGCAGCATACAGTCAAACAATTCCTTTTGAGACATCTTACAGAAGAAACAGTTTTGGACACTTCATTTCCAGATGTTGGCTGAATTGAGGCCTCGCTCTCAATGTCGGTAGGTTTCTCATTTTCGGACACTTCATATCCAGATGTTGGCTGAATGGACGCCTCGCTCTCAATGTTGGTAGGTTTCTCATTTTCGGACACTTCATTTCCAGATGATTCTTGTATGTGATTCTGAAACATGTTTAACAATCCATCTCATGTCATATTTCTAGATGAAGAATTCATGGCGGTCTGGTTGCCTATATTTTTATAGGTCATGGGTGTGCCAAATTGGTTAATAATGAAAAACTGTAGAACTGGAGGTGCTTTTTTGCCAGAAGGTGACGTAGGTAATGATTTTACCCTTATGTATGTGTATTATTTTAGCAGTATGACAATATCAACCACAATGTAAGCAACTTTAAGAAGACCCTAACATTGTTATTATCATGATAATTCAAATCTGAAATGTTGTGGAAATAAAAAGGATTAATCATAAGAAAGTGAAATAAGGCACATGTAGCAAATAGTTGTACTTATGCAACAAAACTTATGCAAATTTAGCAAAATAATGATAAGTTATCAATGATTAGGACATTCGGCAAACATAAGACTCACGGATTTGTTATAAGCTCCCAACAAAGAGTCATCTTTCATGGGCTTTTTTACACACTTCCCAATGTCACCCGTTTCCATGTAGGGCATAGCATCCATTTTGGGAAGAGAAGAATATCCGCTGACTGGGTCTGCATAATGCTGTTAAACCAACAACAAACCAGAATCACATTCTTATTTCTTCAAGAATAACCTTAAAAGAACAAACATATCATTAGATAAGAATAAAATTGTAACTGAAACGCTTGTTTTAAAGAACAAAAATAAAAAATCTTTATTTTTTGGTTCTGTCTTATTTTAATCTCCAAATTTTAATTAAATATGTTCTAGTAGGTTTGTTTGGCCTTTGTGATTCAGATTATTTATTACTTATGAAAATATATGATTTTAATAGTGTGAAATCCGAAATTTTAATTAAATATGTTCTAGTAGGTTTGTTTTGCCTTTGTGATTCAGATTATTTATTACTTATGAAAATGAAATGCAAACCAAATATCTTTTCATGCTTAGGCCCTCCAATATTTTCAGTTATCATTTCAGGTTTAACCTTATCAAGATGCAAGTTTGAGCTGAGACAACTACAGTAATATATAGTTCATGCTAAAAGGTCGAACTGTTTATTTAACGTGGGCTCAATCTCTTATCATTTGCAACAGAGCAAGTAGTTTATGTTCACCCAAGCACAGTTAATACACATTCAGCTACCACTCATGGTTTATATATTTAAGTTCATGGACATTTCCTTTTAGTTTCCTTTTAGAGGCAACTTAATATCAAGCATAGACATTAAAAAGGTAATTTCACCAAAATACCAGAAGTGCACATTTCCACAATGAAAAGTTGAATGTGATTTAACAACACACTTGCTAAATCTTGTAAAATATTTTGTAGATGATAACAACATGAAAAAGAATTCACTTTCAATACTCGGATATAGCAAAGGTAAATCATTAAGACATTCAGCAAAGAGAAGAACTCACATATTTGCTATTGGACTCTAACAAAGAATCCCTCTTCTTGGGCCTAATTAAACACTTCCCAATATCACCGGTTTCTACATAGCGCATAACATCCTTTTTGGAAAAAAATACATATCCGCTCACAGGGTCTATATACAGCTGTTAAATCAAGACAAAGGGATTTATGAATCTTTAAGGTAATCAGTTTATAACAATAGTAGTAAAATCATAGGTATAATCTCACCAACTTTATAATAAGACAAGTACTAATAAACATGTAATAACTCCACAATCTCAAACATCAATCCTGATCTATGATAAGGATGATACGAAACTTGTGAAACAAAACGTTATATAGGTAGAATCTTCATATGACCAAGAGAAAATCAAAGTCTTTTAAACCCTCCAGATTTTACATAGGATTCTAATGGTCCTATACAAGATTCTCGTGATCCTTCAATACATACGATAGTATATGATATGACAATATTTTATTGTGGAATTAATTAATACTCCCTTCCAATCACTTGTAACGGTCTTGTATTCCCTGTCGACCTGAATCAAATTAATCGCCATGTTTCTATCTGTGATAAGAAATATACCCTAAAAGAAACTATGATGCACTAAAAATAAAGTTTTAAGTAGTGCTACAGTACCAAAAGCCTCCTGCTTTTTGTAAAGTATAAAGTAAACTGTAAACCTATACTATTTTCTTAAATTACGTGAAAAGCCTATTGTGACAATTAAAATGGTAGGGAGGGAGTGCATGCTTAAAATTCTATCATGGCCACCCTAACTTTTCAATTACTATTACTTGTCTATATTAAAATTTAGGAACTTTTATACTCCATCCGCCCCAAAATGTACAATACATTGAGGTTTGGGCGTTTGGCTTGGGGTTTTGAGAAATAAAGGAGATGGTTGTTTTTCACAGTTATAACTTATAACCTTCAAAAAGGTAGGCATAGTAGTAATTAGTATATATGGGTCCAAAAAAGTTAAAAGATGAAGTGATAGATAAAGTTAGTCTAGTTCAAATTAGGAAAGTGATTATATTTTTAGAAAACAATACAGCAAGTGTATCTAACATAATGGGATGGAAAGAGTTCATTATGATTATTGAAATTTCAACTGTATTCCGATAACATTGATTTTTTTAAATTAATAACTACAAATCATCATCATCATCATCATTACCCCAGTGCCGCAAAGGCTCCCACCTACAGTGGGGAAATTAATAACTACAGATATCTTGGTAAAATATATTGTTACCCGATACTCCGTACATAATAAGTTTTGATCTTTTGCTATTAAATCTAAACAATTCACAATATATTAGGTTGATATTATACTATTATTGATTATTTTGTAGAGCCCTAAACTCCAATCTTACAATCATGATCACAATAACCGTGTCTATGTTAAAATATAGAAATATAGTATCCTTAGTTCAAATATTGTTATAGTTTCCTGTTATCATTAAGTTTAGGATCTAGTTTTCATATTCCTATTGGGTTTAGGCCAACTATTATTTATAAATATTGGAACAATCTTTATAAATTATGAAGTTGCGAGTGAAAAAGCCATATCAATAAAAGTAGTAGCTTATCATACAAAAGGCATGTGTTTCGTAAATAGAATGAAAAAGGAAACATACTGGGTCCCGTCTTATGCCATGTGCATGTACTCTCGTTTTAATTTCCTTAACCCAACCCGGTGGTAAGCCGTCCACTGCATTGTCTTTGACCGCAACCTATAGATATAACTTTACATATTATAAATTATTATTGCAACATATGGTTATACAATTCCTTTTGAGGCATCTTACAGAAGAAAGGGCATTGGACACTTCATTTCCAGATGTTGGCTGTATGGAGGCCTCACTCTCGATGTTGGTAGGTTTCTCATTTTCGGACACTTCATTTCCAGATGATTCTTGTATGTGATTCTGAAACATGTTCAAAAATCCATCTCATGTCATATTTCTAGATGAAGAATTCATGGCGGTCAGGTTGCCTATCTTTTTATAACTTATGTGCGTGCCGAATTGGTCATAATGAAAAACAGTAGAACTGGAGGTGCTTTTTGCCTGAAGGTGATGAAGATAATCATTTTAGCCTTATGTATGTGTGTATTATTTTATCATGATGATAATTATAATTTTTTACTTAAGTCAGCAATTACAGCAAATTCCAACAATATCAACCACAATGTAAGCAACTTTAACTCTTTAAGAAGACCCTGGCATTGTTATTATCATGATATTTCAAATATGACATGTTATGGAAATAAAAGAGATTTCAATTATACGAAAGTCAAATATGGAACTTATAAATAGGTGTACTTGTGTAAATTTAGCAAAATAATGATAAGTTATCAATGATTAGGACATTCGGCAAACATAAGACTCACGGATTTGTTATAAGCTCCCAACAAAGAGTCATCTTTCTTAGGCTTTTTTACACACTTCCCAATGTCACCTGTTTCCACGTAGCGCAGAGCATCCATTTTGGAAAGAAAAGAATATCCGCTGACTGGGTCTACATAATGCTGGTAAACCAACAACACACCAGAATCACATTCTCATTTCTTCAAGAATAACCTTACAAAAACAAACATATTTTGGCATGCATTACAAGACTCTCTCTCCCTCATTACAAGTCCCACACGCATACACATTTTGCTACTCGTAGTAAGGAAGATCCTGGGAATTAGATGTTTTATTTGCTTTCCAGCCATCCCTCTTACAGGTTATTTGACAACTACTTAAAGTGTATGCCAACATAACGGTTTCATTGTTTTAATGACTTCTTTTAACACTCTTTCCAATTAGATGCAAAATACCAATGTGGGAAATGATTTTATTCACCCCCACAATTATCATAGAAAATGAAAACTAGACAGCAGACACACACATGTATGTCTGTGTACATACACACACATACATGTACATATATATATATACGTATATATTTATTAATGTATATATTTATAAAAAACTTGGCCGCATACATTAAAATTTGAAACTCACCCACAAATTGTCAAATGAATCAAAAGTTAGATTTTTCTTCAAGTTCACTCAACTAACTAGTAACTACCACTTGGTCTAATTGGATGCATCCAATCCTATGTTTTTAAATATTAAATTTTTGAGCTATATTCTGTATAGGATATGCTAAAATAACTAGACATGAGCAAAAAGGGATTCAATTACCTTGATTTTCCGACCCTTTTTAACTTTGATATGCTCAGACCAGCCGGAGGGAAGCGTTCCCGGAGACTTTCCGGCAACCATCTTTGCTATAACTTCAAGATTCAGTAAGAAAAGAGGTCAGACGGTGGAGTTGGTACTTGGGTCAAAGGCAATGAAGGAGAAGAAAGTTTTAGAGATTCAGAAATTCCACGTGTTAGAAGTTAGAACGAATGTTTTGTTAATTGTTTTCTCGTCCACCCACGTCAAGAACCAACCAAAAACCGGCTGACTCGTCTACAAGAACCAGATCGGTTATACTTAAATGAGATGGTTTTTTATTTTTTAGATAACAGTAAAATATACTCCTATCAGATTTGCCCACATATTTTAGGGACTTATTATTATTTCATTCATTCATTTTTAATGCAATTAAATAAGTCTCATTTTTTTAATAGTACAGTTAAATGAGTATGATATAGAAATAGGCATGCTTAATTTATTTAAACTTTGTCTATAATCTACTTCTATTTTGAACATTTTTCTACTTAAATTCATAAACGTGAAAGTACCCTATGAATTCAAATAATGATAAAGTATTCAATCAGCTTAACCCCATTGAGAGGATGTTAAAAAAATTATCTGAAGTTTTATAAATCAATTTTGAGTTTTTTATTTGATCTAAATTTTCTCTATCTTCCTAAATTGATTTAGGAGAAATTCGCATAAATAATCTCAACAATTAAAGTTCTGCCCATATTAATCCAAAGTAGTGGCAATTCTAGCATAATCTAAATTATACAAGTTACCTTCTATTAATAAATTGGTGACATTTTGTTGGAAATTTTGAGTTATTTCAAATGAATTATTATTTCTTAAAGCTTAAACGATCCAATTTTAACATTGATTTTCTGATGATGCCTCAAATGTTGCTTTATCTCCTACATTCAATTCTTATTTTTGAGCGTTAGAGCGTTAGAGCGTTTCAACTCTTGCATTTCCTAATGTTTAGCATTTAACTTGCAAATAAATGTTTTGATTAGTAACTCTTATCATTATTATTCATCCAAAACTGTTTTTAGCTTCAATGTCGTGTGTATATAAACATATATTGAATGCAGCTGAATAAGGATGTAAGAAAGTAGACACTTAGAATACAACAAAACAAAATTTTACTTGCATGTTGCGGGGTGTCAAGCTTTTTGATAAAGCATACCATGGACTATATTATACACAAAAGCTATATCTAAATTTATATTCTTGTTCAAATGATTATTGGGTTCATATATTATTTTATTCTCGTTAGTTTCGGTACCGGTTTTATAACCGAAGGGCTCGTTATATCTTGGGGGAAATTTCCGTACGCCAGAAATAATTCCTTAGGACAGCGTCTAACGCGTCTCGAGCCACTAATATACTTTTAGATCTTTTTAGTGATTATTTTGCAGGTCAATCTTGGAGCTAAATAGTCAAAGAGATCAACTTAAGGACAACACGGTCAACACGCTGATTTTCAAGGGATAGAGCCAACAATCTAAGGAACTATTGGCGAACTAAAATTACACCTACGGAACAGTCAACGTGGCGGATACACCTCCTATGACTAGTGACACCAAAAGTATGACTACATTTCTAGCTCCCAACGATAGTCAAAATTATGGTATGTTTTTATATCCTTTGTTCAAAAAGTGATTTTTTAGATAATGAATGTTTTGGGGAAATCATCCACCAAAACAAAGTGTAAACTTTGTTGGCCGTGACGATATAATTGGTGCGGTTATTTTCTCAAACTGACTAGTGATGTGTGAACGAATAGATGGTAGATATTGAGGCTACCAAACACATTTGTGAAAAAAATGATTTTATCCTCCTATAGTCCTGTAGGGGATGACGAGATGGTTGTTCAGATTAAGCTCACGTCATATAAAAATTTATATTTTAATGACAATTTCACTTGATTGAGATTTTGACTGACTTAATTGTTTAAGTTTCTCAATTGAATAAAAGTGGATTTATTTGCATTCTACTTTTCCATACCGGTATAACATATGAGACGTGGTCATCCTTTTCATTTCAATTTTAACTTGTCAATACAGGGCTACCTCCTTCCCTCTAATCGTTCTTAAAATTACTTGATCAACTCAAGGATATTCTTACTTTAGTGTGCTATAAAATTATTACTATTAAATTCCCTTTTAATGCTGAAAACGGTTTCAACTTTTGATAACCCTATTCATAACATCTCTATACTTATTAAATTATACGAAGTATTAATAACTTTGTTGTTATGTTGAAGAATCGTTCAACCATTTGTTTTCTATGCTTACTTTGTTACTATTAGGCTGCATGTAGTGCTTTGTGTGGTTCCTTAAAATCCGAGTGTATAATACATGCAAATAAAGGTTGTGATGGATTTATCTTAAATAAAAATGAAATTATCTCTATGTGAATTTTAGAAGGGGTATGCACCTGTTTTAAATATTTAAAATTGTGGGGGCTCTCAGCGCATCTAAAACCTTATTGCATGTTACAAGAGAGAAAGTATAATTCTTGGTTGCCTTTTATATGATGGAAAATATAAGTATTATATACAAACATTTATTATTCTAAATTATAGTGTGCTCAAGAAATACTTATGAGAAGGAGAAAGTTATATTATTTAAAATGTGCATTTGCAAAAAATTAAGTTTGACATAGATCATCAACTTTTATGTTGATATATATTTTCGTTGCAAGGGTTATTATGCACCTTGTGTTAATAAATGAATGCTATAAATTATGATTATTTGTTCATATTGTATGTTGAAATAGTGGAGCATGTGATTTTCTTGATTTAATTAACTAATGTGCTTGTGTGCAATTCTTTGAGCTATACTATTGTTGAAGTTAATGTGGTGAATTTTCGGAAAGAAAAAAAAAACGTGCACACACTAAATTATGCATGTGTGATTGCTTATATGTTGCTGAAATTTTTTCTATGCTTATTTCAGTACCTATATGTATTGGGTTGTTATTTTAATATAATAAAAGCAATTTTGAGTATTAAAGCCATAAGGAAGGACATTGATATTTTAGTATCATTATATTGAGAAACTTCTATAGAAGTTTGATATTTCATTGTTAAAATGTGAATATCCCTTGTGACTTTAATACAAATATTAAAAATAAAACACATAAATGCAAGGCTCAATATGTATGTTTAAAAAAAATGTGTGACCCATCATAATTTAAAATGTCGGAAGATTGGAACAATATATGAAATTCAAATGGGATAGTTGGGATACATTAAAAGGTTATTGAGGTACTTGAGGGGTATCATTAATTATGGTATATTTGGTTGATATTATCTGTTGTGATATGTTGATACAACGATGATATGTTGTACTAGAGCAGTACAATGATGTTCTATATTTGAGGATTATCCATTGTACTATAATGGTACAATGATGTTATATATTATAAATTGAGAATTATCCGATGTACTAAAGTGTCACATCGATGCTATATTTTTTTGAGAGTTATCCGTTGTATTGCCGGGATATAACGACGACATCTGAGTCGACTCACATGAGATCAAATAGTGGATATCCATCCACCCTTAAAAGTGGTGCAATGATGTTTGAGAATGAAATTATTCCATTAATTTGTGAAGTTAAAAGGAATTAGATACTCCTTTTGATAGAATCCCTAGGACGTTAAATGATAAATTTAAACATCGAGGGAAATGGACTAATGCCACTTTGACAACAAATAGGGATGGGAACCTTATGAGTGCCTTGATACCAACTGTGAGTTCCAAGTGAGGTAAAAGTCTAGAGGGGGGGGGTGAATAGACTTTTAAATCTTTTCGTTTTCTTCCCCTCCCCTTATTCTTCAACTGGATATGTTCCAACATCTTTTGAGAGATATTGAAACATGCAACGAAAGTCTTGACCTCAAGAGAATGACACTATATAGAGACAAAGGTTATGACCCTTTTAGTTGTGAAGGAGAGATGGCTTAAACATTGTACAAATGTGTTTTGTCAGTAACAGAAAACTTTGGGAGCAGGCTGCCGAAACCTGAAGCTGCCAGAATTGGGAGCTGACTGCCAATCCTTAAGAGCAAGCTGCCGAAAGTGTTTCTGTTTATTTTAGTTAAATTATAGCAATGAACTTTACTTTAACAACTTGACTGACTTTAGAACTAGTCTTACACAAGTGTATGAAGGATTTAGACCAATGGAGATAGGTCACTTTGAAGAACAGATAACAAGGAGTTGACTCACAGTGAACTGAGAAAGTTCACTGGACAGTTTAAGTGAGCAAGATGTTTTTCTTGTGCAGTTGTGAAAGTGAGTGAGAACTGAAATAAGTGTTAGGTGTAGAATGTAAAGGTGAAACACGGTGTATCCTGGTTCAGGGGTGGTGTAATCCCCTTACATCCAGTCCCAACTTATTTCAGATGGATTTTCACTAAATGTATATCTCATTACATCTAGTACCCAATCTACCCTTGGCCCAGGCGTAGATTGTGAGGTTTTTCACGAGGAACTTGAACACCGTTCCAAGTTACTCATGTCCTCCCAAGGTTTTTCACTAATGACATTGACTCGCCAAGAGCTACTCATGTCTTTGCCTTTTCTCACCTTCTGGATTTGATCACCAAGCCCTCCAGAATGTCTAACACTAGTCTAGAATACATGGGTGTATTTTCTAAACTACCAACTAATATAAGCTCTATTGATTTGTGTGAATCATAACTAAGCTAGTTTAAGAGCATTAGACGAGTGGGGTGGCGGCCTAAGTGGAGAAGGGAAATCAGCTGGCTGGATTTGAGCGTGTAGAGTATGATTTCCTTAATTATAACCACTTGGCTCCTTTGTTTTTCCACTTAGTTACTACTTTGTGTTGACCACCCTTGTTGACCAAACATAGTAACTCCTCACGCCTTCTGTATTTATAGACTTGATCATTTCATCTTCACCGTTGGTTGTGAAAATGAATCTTGACCGTTGCTTGATCTACTTGCTTTGTTCCACTTGACTGAGGCGGCATGGTTTCTTCTTGTCACGTATTGACACGGATCAACTATCTTCAGCTCAACTTGTTTACACATTTCAATGCAAGATAAAAGATATTTCATCTTTTATTTTCCTTCGTAGACAAATACTAAGCAAAAAGCAAAAAGGAGACAAATAATACAGTGCACTAATGCTTAGTTTCCTTCGTAGATAAAAGATATATTCATCTTTTATTTTCCTTCATCTTTTCAATTACTAATGCTTAGTTTACTTGAAT